TTTGAGGCCTGGTTTGAACCATGCTGAAGATCAGGCAGCTCAGCGGGAGACACAGTTTATCCGTTTGTACGAGTTTGAAAAAGAATTTGCATATGATTGTGAATGAGAAAAAAGTTTTGATTTCCAAAGCAATACCTTTTTCGAGGTTTCATCATTTTGGATGATTTTTTTCTTTTTTGCTGTGGTGGTGCTTGCACCTCTTCAGACAAGTAAGGATGGCATTTGTTAAAGCTGGGGTACCTAACTTTAAAACCACATAAACAGGGCAATATGCCATGAAAACCAGCTATTGTCCCTTTCTCTCAAAACAGTTCTATCACTTGTTTTCACATTCTGTACATTGTGTGTACTTGTATATAGTAGTAATTTTAAGAAATGCTATGTTGATTTTTTTTATTTTCATGCATGCATTTTAATTTGTTTGTACCGGGAGCCAAAGCAATTTCCTAGTTTGCGAATTTTTGTTACCCACAATGGCAATAAAAATATTCTTGAATCTGATCACTTTTGGCCTCTGTCAGATCTTTAAATCAGTTTTTTCAAGCTGAAAATCGCAAAAAATATGTTTTTTTTTTCAACTCAACCATTCAATAATGGCAGAATATTGTGTTGGTTTTGGTCTGAAGTTTTACAAGAGAGACAAATGTATTACTGGACACTAAAGCAGTACCCCAGATTTAGGTATGGTCTTTTCAACTCTTAAAGTGGTATTTTTGGCCCACAACCATTTACAGAATATTTTGTCCCATCCCCACATTCAACTACTGTCACTCAACGGCCGAGTTTTTGCTGTATCTCTGCTCCTTCCCTCTCTATATATTAGCAGTCTGCAGCCACAAGCACTACTCACTAAATTGCATGTGCGTGTTGTTGTCATGTAAAAAGCAAAATCAACCTATTCACTACATCGCACTCGCAGTATCATCCAACCGTAGCGATAAGCAGGACACCCTCTGAATTACAAAGGATTGCAGTCTGCAGCAAAATGCTTCGTATATGTGCTGACATGGTTGGTTTTGCATGACTTCCAACGCAATCATTTAAAACCCAAACTCCATGTGAAAGCACAAAATCGGAGGCTCAGGTATTCAGTAATAAAAACACGAAGAGAAAGCAGAGACGGCGAGCTGATGGTGGTAAAGCTTCGGATATGCCACTCACCCAAGACACGCACATACAGGCAGATCCCACTAATCTCACTAAAGCGTTTTGAGGCTCGCTTTGATGACCTTAAGAGCTTGTCGGACTAGAGCTCGGGCTTAAAAAATCCGACTCTACGCTCACGGGGCAGTTTCTCTTCTAATAACGTTGCCTTTGTTATGTCTTCCACTTCTTCATGAGGCTTTTGATCCATGCATAGAGAACGTTTAGCGCTCGCAATTGGCTTAGACGTATTTAAACATATTTTTTTTACGTTTTCTCTGATGGCGTGGAAGAAAGAGAAATGAAAGAGAGAGAAATGGCAGGTTAGAAATGGCAGGTTAGAAGTTCAGGAGAGCACATGCATGTATAGAGGCACCTTAGAAAAACAGTAAATACCTGCACTATGTTTCTGCCAGGACTTTCAACACAAACACGTTTACTTAAGATTCAGCAAGTGCAGCAGGCTTCTCGAATTTGCCTGGGTAGTGTTTTCTGAATTAATATTAGCATTCTTGTGGTTTATAATCGCAAATAAACTGTAAGATTTAAGATTGTGGTTGCGCTGTTTGTGTGATTTTTGCCTACACTGCAAAAATGATGAAATAGGAGGCTTGAATTGTGTGTATTTTATTTTAATTTGTGCACATTCTGACTGTTTTAAACATGATTTGCCAATGGGAAAAAGCCATTTAGTCTCCATTTAAGAAGTGTTGCTTTTGTTTTCTCATTCTAAGGGAGATATTTCTTGTATATTTTACAAAAACATCATTTTGCTTTGTCTTGTTGGCAATTATTGTTTTGAAGGCAGTCAAATGTGCTCAAATGTAAGTACGTTGTGCCAAATTTTTGTAATGTATGCATCCGGCATAGGTCCTTAAAACTGGGGTGCCCAACTTTCAAACTGCAAAAATGTAACTACAAATCCATCAAATTGTAGTCCTAGCTCTCCCTAGCAGTTTGGTTCTGATTTAGTTTTCACATGTATTGTATGATGTATTTTTTGGTCTCTTGTCACTTCTGTAGAGCAGCTTTCTTGGACAGAAAATAGAAAAAGGGAGCCCCACTCTTCTTGGCTCAACGTTAATCTCACAGGGATCTTTCTTACAAGAATAAATCACAATTGTTTTCCAATAGGATAAAGAGGGTTGACGATTTACCGGTCAATCCATGTTTCCACCTTCACCTATGACCATGAGCGTTGGCTATAGACCAACAGAACATGATCGCTGACACAAGCCTCTACAAGTGGAGCTGCCTTAGAGATCGGGGTAGAGCCAAGTGGGTCTGTTATGGATGCCACCAAGAGGAGACCCCAGGTAAGACGCAGGACACATAAATGGGACTAAATCTCTCAGCGGGCCTGGGAATGCTTTGGCCTGATTCCCTCGAATGAGCTGGAGGAGAGGTACACGGAGAGGGAGGTCTGGGCGTCTCTTCTCAGACTGCTGCACAATTGATAAGATGAAGAGAGCATGTTGTGGTCTGATTTGTTACCTTTGCTTCCTTCTCGGACTCAGTCGGGACAAACATCATGTGTTATACTGTTATACTGTACTGCTGTCACCTTACATTGTGTGCACCATGTGCACTTGTATATTGTAAATAGTAACTGTAACTGTAACTCTATTTTAAATAGAGTGTACACTTCTAATGTATTCCTTAGAAGTGTTTTTTATTCTTTATTTTTTATTATCTCATTCTGACTGTTGCACTGAGCCAAAGCAATTTCCAAGTCTGTGACTTCCTGTTACTTACGTGGCAATAAAAGTGATTCTGATTCTGATTATAAATGCAAAGAAGTTAGGTATCCCAGCTTTAATGAGCTTCAAAATAATGATCGCCAAAGTATTTCATCACAAACAATTGTAAAATCCAGAAAGACTGCAGAAACCTCAATACCACACCATGTATTGAGGTGTATATCGGGGTAAATAGCAGTTATCCTTAAGTGTAGTAAACCAAAACAGGCATGTCATTGCACCTGATAAGTCTTATTGACACAAAGACAGCAACACTTTTGAGTAAAACTTTCTCCAGCATTTTTTGAAAGAGCCAGCTCTCCATTAACATGCTGCACATACAAACACATAATGTTTACTATATAAATATCATTTAAACTTAGTCTTTTCGCGAGAACCTTGAGGCTTTTTCATTATGGCTTTTACAATGACCCAACAAACCAACAGACACAACAGCAATAGACATTACTAAGTTTTCTTTTTAGATTAGATTACATATATATTGATCTCCATTTGATTTTGAAATGCACGATGGCTACTGAGACAGAACCAACATTGACAACATTTGGGACTTGTTCGGAACCCTGCTGAACTGTAGAGGTAGAAGGTGTGACTGTGTTAAATTACCTTTTTACTAAGAGAAACTTTAACCCTGTCTTCTTTTGAAGCATGCATAACTTTAAATCTTTATATACAGTATTCAATAAATATTCATATAAAAGGTAGTCTACAGCATGTCCTCTTTGCATGCACAATACATTTCTGTTTGGCTCATTTTGGATCGTAACGTTGGTGTTTGTGTTTTTGGCAGTAACTTATGTTTGAGGCATAGGATCAACTTCACATTGACGTAAATCTGAGAGACGGACGATAAAGGGAGAAATGTTCCAAGTGGCGTTATCTTCACAGCCACAGTCACAACAGTCCCTGGCACCGGTTATGGCAAGCCTGTAAACACAGAGAAAATGGATCGGGAATGTCCGCGTTTTCCTTCCCTTGACATTTGAAATTGTATTGAGTGAGAACAGCTGGAGCCTCTCAGGAAAGCTGCACAAGGTGATGACATTGAATCGTTTGTCAATTCCTTTTCCTTCCAACAAGCTATTTGTCTTGTGCAGGTGGACCGCAGCAGACATTATCGAACACTGATCTTTCTCCATTATTTATGTTGATGTGTCAGAAGCATTGCAATAGATTGTTACGGCTTTAAAAGTCTTTAAAACTTGCAAAACGAGACCAGCTGCTGTCACAGGCAACAACAGGGGATAGGAAAAAAAGCTTGAAAACAATTGTGCTTGAAAGATCTCACACCCAGCTATTGTTTTAGCTAGTTCAGGGGAATAGGCTGTTTTGGTTTTGTTTCCCCCCCCCGCACATTGTTAGTGGCTGTGTGAAGCTATATATTCTCAAATAAACATGTTATCTCTTTTGGAATAAAACATCACTGAAGAATTTACAGAAATGTTTCGCCTGTAGCTCAGAGAATATACTTTAAAGCAGCTCTGAGGATATTTTGAGACATATTAGCCTCCTGATGGTGCCCAGAGTCAAGACTAAAAATTTCAGATTCATGCAGCTAAAATGCAAGGTTAAAAAACAGGTTTGTTTAGTTTTGAATACAACTTAAGAATTGCACACTCTCTCTTCATGTGATTATTTATTTATTACTTTAATGCCAGGTACGCTTTTAATGTTACTTACCTTGTTTTGTCGTTGGTTTGAGTTTGCCTTGTCTATGAACCGTGCTGGACAAACAATCTCACCTTGCCTTGCCTCGAGACAAACGGGCAGCTTTACCATCAGAGAGAATAAAGAACATCATCCACAACTACCGTGAAAGACTCAAAGCTGTCAGAGATGTTCAAGGGGAAATATACTTTATTGAGAACTGGGGGATGGAGACCTCGGTCATTGTGTCTATTTGAGAATAAATAGCTTCACACAACCAACCAATCTTCAAAACTTAGCAAAAAACATCAACATTTCTTTCAAGCACAACTGTAACTATATCACAGTTTGTTGGATAAAGAGGTGCATATTACGGTGGTTTACTGTCGGTCTCACCAGAACAAACGTTTCCCTTATCGCTACCATTCCTCACACTTTTGCCGCCGCGCTCTAGAGGAAGTCACTTTGAAGCTCATTGGAGAGTTGACTGACGGCCACCTCGCTGTGCACGGATCCTGTCAGTATCCTGGCAGTCTGCTGAGGACTGTGCCCGTCACACGGCCCCCCGAGTCTGTGGGCGGACGCCGGAGACGCACAGTGCCGACAAGCCCCGTGGTTCTCCGGAAGTCCGTTCGACAGCCGCGTGGAGTCGCAGTCGTCTTTGAAATCAGCGTCTCTGCATGTTCCCTTCTGAGGGGAGGCGTGGCTACAAAAACAGCCACAGAACATGCTCTTGCACTGGGCCACGTCCCGGCAGAGCGACTTCCGGAAGTTGGGCTTGAAGAGGAGATAGACGATGGGGTTGTAAAGGGTGGACGACTTGGCAAATATAGCTGCCAGAGCGAACGCCATTGGAGGCACTTTCGATGGGTTCCCGAATGCGGCCCACATGGACACGACAGCGTAAGGACTCCAAGCCGTGAGGAAGCCGATGCACACTGCCACTGAGAGCTGAAATGATAAAAAACATGTGAAGTTAACCTTGTATATCAAAATTAGTGTATTACAAAGCCTACCTAACAGTCTAATCCAATTCAATTTGAAGAGCGTTTAGCTAGTTAAGAAGTGGCCCAGCTACTAGTATTCTGTATTTTGCGCCCTCCTTTACCCACTGTGGGACGAATAAAGGTTCTCTTATCTTATGAGCAATAGAGGTGTGTAAACCCGTGCACTTCTGTTGAGGTGTGAAAAAAGGTCTGTTTGAAATAGCTGGATTGAACTATTTCTACTGTGATAAAATCATATATAATGCAATAAGATGGGGATGTGAGAGGAAGAGAGGACACTTAGCGGAGCCAAATACATTGTGTGTCAGACCACTTTCATCTTTTGAACCGACAAATTCAGCTCTTTCACTCCAGGGGGCGATATACAGACTTAATGGTCACATATTTGAAGAAATACATTTGTCCCTTCTGCTGTAGTCATGCTAGACTCACTGGGATCATATGCACATTCTGCTCTACTTTATCTTTATAGTTGTTTATCTGGGCCAATTTCTCTAGAAAGTCTTTCCCCATTGACCTAAGATGAATTTCTAGACAATATATTCTATTTGATTGATCGGCTATGTAACCTTCAGTGTTGGGCACGTTACTTTGAAAAAGTAATTAGTTATAGTTACTAGTTACTTCTCCCAAAAAGTAACTGAGTTACTAACGGAGTTACTCCACTATAAAAGTAACTAGTTACCAGTAAAAGTAACTATTGCGTTACTTTTTCGTTTTGTTCTGGAACATAATGTGCACCCGACGTGCGCATTTTTACCTTTAACAGTGCCAATATTTCCATCTAGAAAAGGCTGTTTTGCTGCTGAAGTCCTGTTCACTCTTTATCTCTGTCTGTGCTGTAAAGCCCGCCACTGTGAATGTGGAAACACCGGTGACGAGCGGTGAGGCTGGTGAAGCACTGACTTCAGTCCAATCAGATGAACATATACATCATATAAATCAAGTGGACAATTTGTTTGGCTACAGCAAAATATGTTTTATGCCCGCATTGTGTGTTCATACAAAACGCAAAACTATGAGTTATGGGTCTTACCTTATAGCTATACCTTATAAATGACCTGCACAGTCCACTTCGGTTCAGACCAGTTCCTTGTTTAAATCCAGTGAATGGTTTGAGCGTAGATATGTAATCCTCCATTTGGAAATGAGTCCAATGAGTTTTAAAAAGTAAAACAAAACGCGTGTGTCCTCCGTAAACTCCTCTGTTTTGCTGCAGCCGGCTGCATCCAATTTCTAAAATCAACCGTCTTACACTTCACCTCTCTTTCTTATCATATAGTAATTGAAAAATTACCCTATGTGCATTTTAGATTATGTAAAAATGTGTTATATGTATGTTAGCCAAACCTGTTGCTGTCCTTAGCAGATAAACCAGGAAGAGCAAGGAGCTTATCGATGGAATTGTATGCAGCCGACTTCTGCGCTCACATGCGCTCCTCTGAGGCTGACCTCACGGTGATACAAGCCGTGGTTGAGCGCGATTAAGACCCATATTTGTTTCAAAAACACAATTTATGAGCCATCCTCTCAACTGTAGACATGTAGATTGTAAAGGAAATATGATTTACATCAGCCAATAATTGCTGAGAGGTTTTCTCATCCTCCCTTCTCTCATGACAACACGTTCATTGTGCGTCTTGAGTAACGCGCAGTAACGGGATGTCGGAAATGATAACGGCGTTATAGTTACTGTCAAAGTAATTAGTTAGATTACTCGTTACTGAAAAAAGTAACGGCGTTAGTAACGCCGTTACTAGTAACGCCGTTATTCCCATCACTGGTAACCTTGTACTGAGACAAGGCCAGCAGATGCATTCAAGAGCAAAGGGGGAAACAAAATGCTTACAATATATATGTACTGTATGTATTTGGATGTAGTTAAGCACGAGAAGTGGGATTCTGTGTGATTCCCAAGGCAGTAATCTACCAAAGAATGTGGTTTTAAGTTTTACTATTAAGTGAAAACTATACTTTCTCTGTTCTAGCCCTCCTAGTATTTTGGACACCATTTTTAAGCTTTACAGTGCTTGTCGGGGAGTTCATTTTCCACAAGCATCACAAAAATATGCACTAACAATTTAATGTATTTAATATCCATAGTGATGTGAATTTATAAATAAAGTATAATAGTGAAAAATTATTTACTAATCGACCAAGAATGCAGTGATTTGACGACCCAAAACAAGCCCGTCTCCATGTACGCCTATTCTCTATGAATAGTGATCGGGCTCCTTGACTAATAATTATTGGCATTGGCCTTGAAATATATCATATTGGTTGACCCTTAATCTTGATAGACCACATTGCACCAGTGCACCTTGAGGATGAGTGCTTCCTTGACTGCCAATTATTGGTATCGACCCTGAAATAATTAATATTTTCTGATCTCTAATCCTGACCAATCCTAGAGGACATTGCACTAGTGTACCTCAATTCAATGTATTCTTGTATAGCCCTAAATCACAGCAGTAGTTTTCTCGAAGGACTTAACAAAACTATTGAATTTCAAACACCAGAAAGGTATAGTTAAAAGTTCATAGAGCCATTGGTCCACAAGGGGCAGATGACCAATGTCCGTAAATGTAGGACTACTTTAAAGTCGATATATATATATAGGGTCGGAGAGTGTTTGGGCCTGTTTGTTGTCAGTGTGTGTGTGTGTGTGAGTGTGTGTTATGAGTTGTCTGAGTTATCTTATCTGTAGTAGTACTGTATTACTGTGTGTGCTGTACAGTTTTATGCTTGAGAATTCTACTGCACAATATTGATATATGTACAATTATTTATTGTGCAATTTCAAAATAAATAAATAAAGACAAATGTTTATAAATGTCCATAAATGTTCATACCTTAATGATGAGTGCGTGTGCGTTGGTGATCTTGTTCTGGGGGGACATGTGCTGCTGGACTGCCTGTCGGGACCCTTTCACCGTCATCAAAATGAACATGTAGGAGAGGAAGATGACGGTACAGGGCACAATGTAGCAGAAGAAGAACAGGCACACGATGTAGCTCATGGCTGAGGATTTCTCACTGGGAGCGTGCCAGTCGATGCAGCAGGCTGTCCCGTAAGGCTCTGCTCCATAGCGCCCCCATCCTGACAAAGGCCCCACTGCAAACACTCCAGCGTAGCACCACACTCCGGCTACCAGCAGGTATGCATGCCAGAACGAGAACTTGCTGCCTGTGAACAAAAAAAAAGAAAAAAGAAAATTAGTTACAGCTATAGACGTGACCTCTGCTTTTAAGGATGACAATAGTAATAATAATAATGCATATAATGTGCTTTTTTGGACACTCCAAGATGCTCCACGTGTCATTATTCATTCACTGCATACATAGTGTTGATAAACTATTATTGAAGCCACAGTTGCCCTGGGGCACAATGATAGAAGCTGAGCAATCAGTATGTGCCCACAACCACCAACCATTCACACACACACCAGTCTCATTCTAGACATTGTGAGTGAAGTTTCTTGCCCAAGGACGCAGCAACAGTTTGACATTTCACGGTTGCAGCCGCCCCACTGTGGCACCTGGTGTTCACAGAAGTTTCCCTTCACAATACTAACCAGGCCCTGTTCCGCTTAGCTGGGCTTTCACATGCAGGTATGGCAGAGAAACAGAGAAGGTGAGGAAAGATCCATTGTACGCCAATGCAATCATGTTCTGGAAACATTTTGTCCATATTGAGAATGAAAGAAACTATGACTAGTGAAAGAAAACAAAAAAACAAATTGATTCTTGTCTAAATGATTTGATCTCAAAGTAACTTGTGACTCCCTGGGATTTGATGTGATATGAAAAAACTGCATTTTACTGTATGTGATTCAAATGTAAAACACCCATGGATTGAGCTTTCTGCTCTTGAAGATTAACTCGTATTGGATTTTTTTATTGAGGTTAATGTGCAGATTACTAAATCAAAGCTTTGATAGAGAATACTGAATACTGAGAAAATTGTCATAAACTTTGATCTGAGGTCTGCCGACGCAGATCAAATAATCCGTCAAATAATCAAGGCATGTGTGTGTGTGTGTGTGCGTGAAGAGCTCTGTTCAGATGTTGTATCAATAGCCTTGTGATGTGTGGTTGTTGGTCAATACAGTTTTACAGTTGTCAAGACAAGTCTGGTGAACTAAAGTGGTCGTCTAAATAAATCTGAATCTAAATAATGTCTGTAATGATAACCATCCTGCTTATAGGTATACAAGAGAGTTATCCTAAATTTTTAGTAAAAAACCGCCCTTTCCACTTTTTGAAACAAACTCTCTTGTTTGACGAGCACGTATCACCAGACTGATTGACAATTATAAGGAAGCATAGTATTGATGATCCACCCCGGAGAGGAAGATCCTCCTTTACTCTCTTTACTCTCATTATTGATTTCCATATTTGTAAATTGTAATTTGTTACTTGCTACAACTAGGGGAGACCTGCAGATGGCCTTCATGATCCTGGATGAAGTGTCTTGCTTAAAAACCAGTCGTTGGGACCATGTCAATCACAGAGATCTCAGCCGGCAGCTTTAAGATCAAACAAAAACTAGGTGGTATTTGGTAGGTAGTAGTTAAAAAACCAGAATCATTAAACTTCATGTGACATGTCCAAAATGGATTGAGTGTTTTGTGCCAATCTCTCCTGTGATGTCATTGAAAAAAAGCAATTACTTATAGCACTGGGAGTGTTTTGTTTAACTTTCCCTTGCTCTCTTTCCTCTTGTACGTTTTTGATGTTGATGCAGTTACCCGTGACTTCATCAGTAGTAAATTGGTACTGTTGATTGGAGCAAATAGAAAAACCCTGCCAGTGTTTTTCCAGAGGTAAATCAGCATGCATGGAAGTCAGTTCAGTTCATTACCAGGAGTAAACCCACAGACTGAGAGCGGAAACAAAGGAAATAAAGGATAAGAAAAGCTGTTAGCCCTTTGGGTGTGAGAGTGACAGTCTTGGAGGTGCCCTCATAACCTCGTCCCTTTGAGAGTCGTGGAGGGATGTAAGAACCGTGCCCGTAAAATCCAGAATATTATCTTTGCCTTACAGCTCAATGTCAATCCGGTCCCTGGTTTCATCTCGACAATTTCAGATTAGTGTGATTGACAAGTGGCTGAGGTAATCTGGGGCAGACGTGGACTGTTTGTCTCAAAGCAAAGGCGTCTGATTAAGAGGAAACAGAGAATCTACCACGTAAAGCACACACTCAATGTTGGATTTAATTGTGGATAATAGAAGACTAATGCACTACACTGTGGTTTTAGTGTCATGAATAAATATATCTGATTGCACAGCTCTGTTACAATACAATACAATACAATTTATTCTTGTATAGCCCTAAGTCACAACAGAAGTCATCTCAGAGGACTTAACAAAACCATTGAAATCACCAACACAGATCAGAGAATCAACAGTTAAAACACATGAAAAATATAAAGCACACACAGAAAAAAATGTCCATACAACTGTCCAACAAGACCCTCCTGCATCGACAAGGAAAAACTCATAAAAAACCCAGTGGGATAAAGTGAGAAACCTTGGGGAGACCTAAGGAAACCCACAGGGAGGGAGACCCATTTGACTGGGGTTCAAGATACAGAGACCAGACCGAGACTAAGGGTGTATTCAGACACCAAACTTTTTTTCTTTTGCTCCGGTTCGTATTCAGACTGTCCTTTTTGCAAGTGAACTTTTTTATATAAACATATTGACACTGTGACGATCGGCGCTCCTATTGGACAGTGAGAGCTCACGGAGGATAGACGTGGAACCGGCAGAAAACATTGAGGGCTCGTATGTGCAGCATGTCTGCTCTGCCTATGTTTGCTCTTTTTAGAGCAAAACCACCTTCAACATCAACAGCAGCTCATATGACACAGGCCAAACACGTTGTTTTAAATATTGGAACAGCGTCGGAGAACGCGTGAGGAGAAAGCCGAAGGAGAAAGCCGAAGGAGACTGTCTGTGCGCTCCGTGTCCTGTCCCACACATGGATCTATGATAATAACCCTGTTCCACAACTTACTGACAGCAGCATTGTGGATAAACCATGGATCTATAATAACCACGAGACAAACAGACGCTGAGGATCAGGTATGAACCAAAGAGCACAATTCACTACATGATGCGGAATATTGCTCTTTGAGACGTGGGTCAAACAGTGTCAGGCTTTTTATAATGCAAATGGTTTGAAGATGCTGCCATTCATCAATGTATACTGTGAACAGTTTTAACTCCATAAGCCTGTTGCACAGCGTCTCCACTGCTCCAGTCTGCACACGGCTCAGTGTTGTTGTGTAGCGTTAGCAGCAGAGTTAGCAGCATAGTTAGCAGCATAGTTAGCCGCTGCGTGGCTAATTCCTCAGTTTCTGTCTGCGGCTTGTTAAGCCCAAAAAATGCGCACGTATCTTGGAGTTGTGTCGGATCGACACCGGATGTATTCAGACCTGATTCGACTTGGACCAGAATTCGTTTGGAAGCGGACCGAGACCACCTCAAAAAGTGGGTCTCGGTTCGGTTCTTTGGTCCGGACCAGGATTTGTTTGTGTGTATTCAGACCTGCATAAAAGCTTCGGATCAGAGTTCCAAACGAATCCTGGTTCGTTTAAAGTGGAGCAAATGTGCAGGTCTGAATACACCCTTAGACAGCTCAATCCTACTGGAAATGGCCCCCAGTCACTTCCCGAATTGATTTTAAAGTAGTCCTACGTTTACAGATTTTTTACATTATAGTTACAGGTTCAATTGTTTTCCCCACTATCCCCAAGACCCTAAATTCTACACTATCAAAAAAGTTGTTGGACCCCTTATTTATAAGCTTTGCAGAGCTTTTCCAAGTCATTTTTTCACAAAAAAATTGACTTTGCACAAAAAATGTATGATATAGTTGGTATCCAAGGTGATGTCAAAATAAATGAAATATTCAAAAAATAAGTTTACATGAATCTCATCCACCTCCAAGATCCTGCACATATATGTAGCAGCAAAACTAGACTCATTCTCAGAGAAATGCAGAGAATCTTAAATTTAAACAATAGTCTTAATAGTTATTGTCCTATAATTCTAAATATTGACTGCTGTGAGGGATAACAGGGTTGCTTTGTGATAGTTTGCATCTTGTTTTACACTGGACATACAAAGCATATATGTTTTGTGTTGAAAAGATCTTGCTCATGCGGGTGAAATGAGGTCTGTCACCCTTCAGTTAATTTATGCAACTTTGTGGAACTGCAGCTAATTGCACGGTTCTTTGCATTTGAGTCATGTTTTCCACAACGCCAATTACTTCAGACGAGTCTCGAGAATGACTCCGGGGCTTGGCTTTTTTCATTTTACATAAAACTTCAGCAATTTGAGGCATTTGCATTGAACAGGGGCCTTCAGTGTCATTCAGGATCTGGACAAAAGTTGAGCGGGCCTCCTCTGTCCGGGCTCCTGGGCTCTGGAATGACCTGTCCGAGATGATAAGGCTACTTCCATCAGTACCTTCTTCTAAATCACTTCTTTAAACCCACTTTTATTGATCAGCCTTACTCTGTCTGTTTTCAACTTCACGTGTTGTATTTTACTTTTCCACATTGCCTTTGTTTTGTCTCTCTGATTTATCTTATATTTTTGTGTATCCTGTCCATACCATCGGTGGTAGTGCTGTATTACTGTTTGTACTGTACAGTTGAATCTTTGAGAATCTTAATGCATGATATTAAAACAGTCTAATGTGTGATGGGAGTTGGAATAATAATAATAATAATAATAAAAAAACATTGGATTCCGTTAAACGCTTTATGAACCAGGTACAAGATGTGTATCTGTTATGCCGTTTTTCCACAGTGTCGGTTCAGTTCATTTCGGTACGGTACGGCGCACCTATTTTGCTTTTCCACAAGTGGATGGAATGGGAGATTTGAGTACTTTTCCGTACTGCCTCAGCCGTGGTTCCATCCCCATAGTACCCGTGCCATGACGTCACGTCGGCCCACTGCCTTACACTGATTGGTCAACGAGTGTCGTCACTGGAAGCGACATCTGACCCTTTGGGAAAAACAACTCAACCGCCATCTTTAAAACAGGCTGCTCTGCTCGGCTCTGCTTCGGCTACATTACGTCCTCCTCACTCCAGAGAAATGGAATTGCACAGAAAACTCCAAAAGTCCTGGTCCTGGTCGGTGGACGAGGTCCACACGTTCCTCT